CTAAAAGTCCTCATAATACTTTTTTCGACCAGGACTCACTTTACCTTTTTTTAGTCTTTAGATCCCAATGATGTTCTTGCTACCTCTTGCCGACCCATCTCAAGTCATTTACTCCAGGCTGGATCCCATTCGCCTGGGTCTTCTAGATTCATAGACTTTTATTCTCTTCTTGGGTGCTCGCCTACCGCCAGCCAAAAAAAATTGAAATCAGCCCTACGCGCTGCTCGGCTAACGTTACATCCGGATAAAAACATTGAATTAGAGGAAAAAGAACAAGAAGAGAGACGCCAGCAGTATACTTGGCTTGAACAGGCATGGCGTGTTCTTGGCGATCCAGTATCCCGCCGTCAATATGACTGTCGTAGGCTTCAGGACATCCTGATGCTGGAATCCTCAGGCTGTCCGGTGCAAGGATACTTACACTTCACAGATTTCATTCGTTATTCCGATAATCTTGATCATTCAGATAATGGTTCTGACTGTAAATTAGAGGCCAAATACGATTCAGGAACTGAACTCCATTCACATCCTACTCAATTTGATTTGTTTATTACTCCCTGTAGGTGTGGTGGTTTTTACACAATTGACGAGGTAGCATTTACTTGCAGAGCAAAATTCGCAAAATGCTCCGACTGTTCACTAGCAGTTTGTATTAAATATCCAGAGGATAACTAATTTTCTTCTGACTGTATTTCGCTATACTTAATACTTTCTTTTGTTTCTTAAATAAATTATCTTGATTCATGTTTCATATTTTCGTAACTATCACCCAGGGTTCTGTCATTAAAGTCATTTGAAACCAAAATCGTCTTCTTCAAGGCTCGCTTTTCGTATTCCCAAATAAAGAATGATGAAATTTCGGAACGTCTCTAGCCCTCCGCATGTTCTGTACATTTAGGTTCCTAATTCAGTTAGATTTGCATCGGTATTTTATTTGAATTCCTCCCTAAAAGTTTTTATATTTTACCCCTCTTATTGTTTTGATTTGCTTCTATAATTTTAAACAGGAGATAACTTGCGTTGAAGATATGAGTAAATCTCACCTCAAACAGGTCACCTTTTCTGAGGGTGTGGTGGATAACGAAAAGAAAGACTGCACTTCTCTGCCTAATTTATCTTCACAACCACTTCCATTCCAAATTTTGCCTGAAGACAGGAAGTCAACTCGTAAATTTCAGGCATTTTGCCTTCGACAGGCAGTTTATATAGTTGACTGCCTTGGTAACTATAACCCGACTCTTGATGAACTTGCGTTGGCTGTGAGTTTTCGCTACACATGCTATGATGTTTCTCGATATTTCTTTTTTATATACCCTGTTTCTGAATCATACTGTCTCATTAAATTTTCTGTTCTCTTAATTCACTCATTCCATCGTGCCGTTCCTCTGTTTGTGTCTTATCTAAAGTATTTCGTTATTATAAGAATTCTAGTGCTTTTTGGCTTGCTACAATTACCCTATTATGGAGGCCTAAGTACTTTCGCTACTACAATTAAATTGAGCTAATGCTCGGAAGAATTATAGAACATATTTGACAGGTTGATTAGCTTTGAGACAAGAGGATATAGGATAGAGACTGTAGAATCATGGGGTGCAAACATATATGGGTGTAATAAAGGTGCGGTTTGAATGTGTGGAATTCATAAAGCAGAAAGGACAGCAGAGAGTGCCTTTGGTCTGGCGACCGAGATGACTTGCTGGAGTTGCTTAGCAAAATGGAAGACTCTGACAAGATATGGAAATGCGGTCTTGATTTGAGGTCGGTTTGGGTGATGCTCTACATCCCTAAGAATAGCTCTGGAAGAGCTGGCTTTGTGAGGCTCATGAGGCTGTAGCAGAGGTCTTTGGATTCTCGCAAGGCCAAACGCCGGGACTTTATACAAGTGTCACGTTGAGACAATATGCTGATGTATGATCAAGAGTATTGCGCGAGCAAATGTCGCCATGGGGTAGGGGGTATCGTAAAGAACTCTACTCAGTTTAGATTTCTTTCTTCATGCAATGCATTCATCGTATTTAGTTTAGGATGATAAGGGGATTGGTGGTTGAATTTTCCTACTGATTAGATTATGGATTTCTTTCCGTTTAATATATTACGAGTGTGAATGTCGTATTCTAACCGGAGGAAAAGGGATCGCGATGAGGAAGCTGAGGGGCGGGGTTTTTTGGCAATCAAGCAAATACGTTGTTAGTTAGTGATGTCCGTTTATAATAAACCGGTACAACTTTGAGGGCCTGGCAGTCAGGGAGCTGGGCAGACGGATAAACAAACCGTCACAGAAATTTGGTGTTATGGCCAAAATGTACTAGGAATCAACTTGAAATGCCGCATGCAACCAAAGATAGGCGTCCACAGTTTGCTCAGGTAACACGGGTTTAATCAAGGAGATGACCCGTGAAGGCAATGCCTGATATCTGCAAGCATGGAAATCAAATTCTTGGAACTCTGATCGGTGAGACGGCAGTGTACGTGCTTCTAGGGCCTTGAGAAATAGTGCCTGAAGTAAAACGCACACTGGGACTGGAACCGAGTGAAATCGGTCAACCAGAAAGGTAAGGAATGGATCTACGGGACCTTGAGAGGGATCCGGATTGGAGGCCTGAGTCGGATTAGCCGATTAAAGGAGAGTGGGTCGGGGTGAATGGCAAATGTGATGAGGAAACACCATATTTGCCACAAAAGGGTACATTTTGACGAGTGGAATGTAAACAAGTGAGAAGCTGCGATAGGACGGGAGTTTGATAAGAGGTTAAAGAGTAGATAGATAGGCCAGGACAGAAAGAGGAGTGATAGTGTAACCGTTTTTGGCAGAACGTTGGTGAAAGGATTAACTTCACTTGTCCCTTTGACGAGTTCGTAGCTTGGTGCGGAGAATGGTAGCACTCGCTGATGATGCTGGCGAAACGTTTGAGGATGTACCAAGTCCACTGTCTGATGCTGGGAATTATGACAACTACTATGGCAGACGACTTCAGATTAGGTGTGTTCTACTAAGTCCACCTGAGAACAAGACCAAGTTGCTACAACGAGGTCAACCCACTTCTAAAAGAGACGGATTTTCTTTGTAACTGTTTTTAATATGATTTGTATGATATGTGTGGTTTAATCTTGTCTAAAGATGGACTTTAATCTTTCGTCCTAGTTACATTGGCTGGATCAGGATCACTTTGATGATGTGGCCGTTGAGCGCAATGCTTACAAACGCTGTGGATACGTTCTCTGTGATAGACCTCGTGGGGAGGAGATCCGGCAACAATATAGAATTGTCTCTAGAGATCGTCGTGTCTATGAAGTCGGAGACCGCAAAGTATGGTACTATTTTAATAAACCACACTGAATTATACTTAACACCCTCACATCCACACTTTTTCGACATTTTTATCTTTTCTCCGCCCTACTTTATGCATTCACATAAAAGTCAGATCCCTCTTTATTCCTTTAGCGCTTCTGTTCCGATTGGTGTTACCAAGCTTCGGAGTATTTACGACGCCAAATTTCTAGTGATCCAGTTTGGTGTAGAAATTATCTTCCCAAAACTACTGCAGAATGCCGTGCAAATCTGCGGCTCCTCTCCAAGTCGGCTAAAGGTAAACCCGGTCGGGCTTTGCTCGATGGTATGTCCTATTTACGATGTAGCGATGGCCTCCTTCAGCATGACAATCCAGAACCCGAGGTATCTGAGCCGAATGACGTTCTGACAGGCAATGACGAATTTACGGGATACACTCCTTCATTAACTGCTGAGCAGCCTTCCGATGCCGAGTTAGCTTTAAAAAATAATCCGGCTTCAGCAATAAGTTCTTCACATGACTCCGAACCATTTTATGATAAATACTTATGGGGTACCAAGGTTGTGCCGCCATCCAGAAACATGATTTTTGAGGATAAAAGAAAAGCCAATAAAAAAACAGATTTAATTTTGCTTACTTCAAGACTAACACTAAATGATGCAAAAGAACTCTTTCCAAGCCAGTCCAGTGGACCCTATATGCATCCTTCTAAAGCACCCACTTATGAATCGCAAGCACAAGACCTTTCCTGGGAGCCAGAAACTGAATTGAAGAACTTTAGCCCTTCACTTTGCCTTGTATTTCGTCGCTTACTCGATTGGCTTACTCCAGAAGCTGCGATATTCCTAGGTCTCACAATCGAAGTTAGCCCAAAAGGGATGGAACAAAAGCAGGCTAAGGATAAGTTGGAGGAAGGCGAAGTCTCGTCGTGTAATTGTTATGATGACGCAATAGGGCAGAACGATACTCCTTGCTATCCTAATCCTGAAGAGACTAGACGTCACCAAATGATGGTTTCTTTTCTTCGGGCCAAGGCTTACGCCGAAGTTAATCCAGGACAAATTGCTGAAGGGGCTGCTGATGCAAACTCAGATAGCTTAGCAGTAATTCTATTCATATTATTTCTGGAGCGATATGAGCATAACATTTATAATATCTATTTTAAATTTCTAGGATCTATCATTTCCTCTGGTTCATTCGATCTCACAGAAAAGAATACGCCAGGAAATTCTCTTAGATTCTATATATACTGGGTGATTTTATTTGATTTATATTTGATTTCTATTTGATTTCGCTGCATTTCCTATTTATAGGCCTTTATAATAAAGGAATTCGTAATAATAATAATTTATGTAATTATAATTTATGTATTTTCTCCTAATCCATGTATATTATATATCTCCATCACCATAGTTTTTACAAGCATTTTTTCGGTCTAGTTCGAAATAGTCTTATTTAAACTGATTAGTTCGGAATGCTACATGATAATTGATGTTTTTGTGTTTATTAATATTTTTTCAGCATGCTTCCTATTCTTGGAATTCTTAACCTTGATTCAAACTTACTCTCAGCTAGGCTTAAGGATATCGTTTCTCATTTCAGGTAGGCCCCTTTTTATCTGCATCAACATTAGGATCAAATTCACTTTTTCACCAAATTTCCCCTTGAATTATATTCATGCTATCAGTAGTTTAAAAAAATTCAACTCTTATTTATGTTGCAATTTTCCTTGATTATTGTACAACACCCGATTTACTCGACAAATTAGCCATTTAACTTTAATGAATAAGTGGTTTGATCTCATTTTCGCAACT